TTTCGTCATGGGTGAAAGCGATACAAATCTCATAACTGTCCCATCTTCTAATGATTTTACTGCAAAAGAACTAAATATTACGAATGAATACAATTAGGTTTTAACAGAGTAAAGTTGAATAAAATCCACCCTCAAAGACGTTCTTTAGCTAAACAGAAACTATAATGAGAGCTATATTTATTAAAGAAATAATATGATTTACTAGCATTACAAATTGTTTTGTGTTTGATGTTTTTAAAGACATTCACTTTGATTTTTTCACATTAAAAAACAAGAAGACAGAACTCGTTGAGATCATTTCAGAAACTACAGAAATAAAGTTACAATACATTTTACATTGTATATAAGCACATCCCAGATTCAGCAGATTTTATCCCAATATTCCTTTAAGAAGAGCTTGTAGCCCTGATTTCACGATTGTATTTTTTTTTGTCCTTTATACAGCATTTATATTCTTTTAAATTTGTCAGAAAAGGAAAAATGACCTGCTGCGTGTGATTAATATTATCACAGCAGAGAAAAATATCTATGAAATTATGTTTCATGGCGATAACGAAATGATACAGTACACCTTATCTCCAACATCATGAATATGTTCTCTAATCCAGCCTTTATATTGTTTGCTCCTTGGAATCCGCCTACCTTTATCTATTCATTGATCAATACCTGATTGGTTATACGTAGCAAAGAACTGAGACTCTTTGACCAAAGTGGTTCAATACACGGGGTGTCTCCTGCCATGTAAACACTAAATAACTTACACCCCAATCTTTCGAACTGGCCGTAGTGTAAATAATTACTACCATTTACACCTAATGATCGTTTAGAGGTTAGAACATGGAGATGTTACAAATTACGTAAACCCGCAGTAAGAAACAAACAACTAACATAATGATCCCCTTGTAAAAGCAGTAGCTTTGAATTTTACTATCGCTGGTTTCATATTTATAACTTCATACTTTCTAACTATAATAAATGGAACACACTCCCACTGGTTGAATTATTGTAACCAGTGGAGGTGTATTCCATTTATTATATTTTATTTTGTTTATTATATTCATTATAGTCAATTATTGTAACACCACACTTTCTAACTATTTAAATAGAATATACCACCGCTGATTTCGTGGTTGTAGCATCATACTTACACCATGTAAATAGTACATGCCACCGCTGATTTCGTGGTTGTAAAATCATACTTACACCATGTAAATAGTATATGCCACCGCTGATTTCATGGTTGTAACATCATACTTACACCATGTAAATAGTATATGCCACCGCTGATTTTGTGGTTGTAGCATCATACTTACACCATGTAAACAGTATATGCCATCGCTAGTTTCGTGGTTGTAACATCATACATCATGTAAATAGAATATGCCATCGCTAGTTTCATGGTTGTAACGCCATACACCATGTATATAATATATGCCACCGCTGATTTTATGTTTGCAACATCATACTTACACCATATAAATAGTATATGCCACCGCTGATTTCATGGTTGTAACATCATACTTACATCATGTAAATAGAATATGCCATCGCTAGTTTTGTGGTTGTAACATCATACATCATGTAAATAGAATATGCCTTCGCTAGTTTCATGGTTATAACACCACTCCCATACCTTCTAACTGTGTAAATGGAAAGCATATTTCGTGTGTGTGTATGATAATTTAACCGAAAAGAAAGTTTCATAAAACAACAGTGCTGCTTGTTTTCATTGTGTTTTTTTTTTACTATCCAGCAAAAATATGCCACCGCTGGTTTTAAGATTGTAACATCATAATTTATTATTTCGTAATATGTTATGTCTGCGATAACCTAACCGAGACTGAACTGGTTTCATGGTTGAAACTTCATACTTCCTCCCTATGTAAATGGAATGGCTTCTTTGTGTACATTATAAGCCAGTCAAAATCGAAAGCTTTTACAGAACGGTAGTGTTGGCCGTTTTCAGCTGTTTATATACGGGTAAGTTAAAGAGAATTATTGGACGTTATAATGATAACTCGGTGAAAGACAGAACTAATAAGTTTTCCTGCTGACAGAAAAATGACCGATTACCACCCAAGAAAGGACCAGTCTTGTTTATCTTATTATCTCCCAAAGTTCCGAAAATAAACCGACTACTTCTGAAAGACGGTATTAATAAACACGTTTTTAAGGGGCAGTACTCTAATTGGACGATGGATGAATAGTCTTAACGTTCATGTTATAGCACGATAAATTACAGTAATTTAGTAGGAATCACTTATGGTTACTCTTTAATATATTAAATCGAAGTCTATAACTTCAATCGGGTAATGAATCGGAATTTTTTCAAGATAATTAGCACAAAGTTTCAGCCAGTAAATCAAATAGTTTTTCATATTTCTCTTTCAATTTATTATACAATTTCGAGATGTTCCTATACAGTGAGTTTTACTACAAATTACTTTGGTTGGAAACTGACAAGAAAATTGTACATCGACAATGCAGAAACCTGACTTAAAATATTTAGTTTTGTGTACGGATAGTGATAGAACACGTGAAAATGTTTAAGACAAAGCTTTTGTTATTATCCCCTCCCTCTTTTCGCTGACACAGCAGTAAGCTCGAGAGTTTATAAAGCTAAATTTGGGATTCGATTCCCGCGGTGGTCGCAGCGTAAGTTGGTCATTGTGCAGCTTTGCAATTAAACAAAACAAACTCTTGTTATCCCCTCCCCAAACTTCAACATCCTGACTACAGAGCATTTATTTCGCACTCTTTTAGCAAATAATATTATCTCTATATTCTTTTTTATTATTATTATTTTGTGTAGAAAATAACAGTAATGTGTGAAAGATATTTGACAAATTTCATTTAAAACTTCTTATCACCAAAACTAATTTTTGAAAGCGATAAGAATAGTAAAGCCACAAGAGATTGTACTTTAGGGCTATAATAATTGTAAGGCTGTAATGTGCCTTAAATGTTATTATACTGCGACTGTTTAGTATTGTATATGTATTAACACTTTAGGTCTATGCGTCTTTTTGCTGCGTATTTTTCATCTATTATAATAATACTCAGTTTTTGTCTGTCCGGAAAATGCGCATGCACCTCATTATGTAAATACACATGCGCGCACACTTTACTTAAACGGATGTAAATATACATTAGTATACTTTTGTACAACATCATATTGAAAGCTTATCAAAGTTTTTAAAAAGGTCTAAAATTAGGTAGTAGAATAACATTATAAGTTTAATTATTGATAGTATTAAGTATGGTAAAGCTTAGCTTTTAAACTAAAACAAAAAACGTACACAAGTTACAGCGTTAATTTATCTTTTTATCGAACATAGCCCGTACTTAATAAAGGCTTAACTAATGTTAGGTCTAAGACAAATGGACTTATTAATTTCGGTGTATGCGATTAAAATTATTTTGTATTATTCTAAAAATCCTGTATTTAAAAAAGTACTGTTGCAATAAAGACATTCATTTAACGGCACATGTTTTGCGGATCTCAGCTAGTATATAATAATAATAAACATGAGACGCAACTTAGCTTTTGTGGATTTAAACTGGCACTCAAGACTTTTTTCTGCTAACTTTAATTTTCTTTTATTCGAGAGATAATATTGTATTAAACGAATAATATTACAAGTCAAAGTTAAACCAACAGAAGAGAATATTTAGATAAGAAATAAAACATTTTTTTAAGTTGCAATTTTAACACCATAAGTTTGCGAAGCATTGGAAACACGTCTCCCAATGTATAAGCGGTAGCGGTAAATCTACGGACTTATAAAGCTAAAATTCGAAGTTCGATTCCCCGCGGTGGACACAGTAGATAGTCCAATGTAGCTTTGCTCTAAAACAATTGAGCGTAACATCCGTAATAAAAATCACTTCTTAATTTGTCCATTACGAATATCACGTCAGAGGTGTGTGCGATTAGAATTTCGAACTTATCTTTTACTTCCTCACACACACACTCTTGTGAAAAACCATCTGCAATCTAATGTAGTTTTAGAATTGACAAAAAAAACAAATTTTTGTTTTTAAATAAAGTCCTACAAAATTGGGTGGAATAAATTTCAGGTAGGTTTCCTTCAAAATGAAAAAATGACACATTATCTGTGAAGCCAAATAATTCTTATTAAAAAGTTCGTTATTTTTAAATAGTCTGTTTCGTATTAACTAACACATTTTGAATTAATTACAATACAGTACGTTATTACTAAATTATGTGTTACGAAATATAGACTTTTTTATGATTCAGTACCACGTTTTTATTGACTAACTTATTTCCGTTTATGTGTTATTACGTATTGAGATAAGAACCTGAGTTCTACACCTTAATGATGAATATTATACATCATGTGAGAACGCTTTCACCCCTCAGTATAACACAAACTAGAAGAATCTGAATCTGAATTCACCTGTGGTGATGAAAGTCGTCTTTTCACATAATTAATAATAGAGTAAAAGTAATACACTGCCTTACACGGAAATAGACATGGATTTATATATGTATATTATTAAAAAACATTGGTCTGTTATATATGTGCTTTTTTCGCATTATGACTGAGCCTCAATAGAAGGTTCTTGAATTACCATATTCATAATAAAGATATTGAAAATCACACAGAAGATGATGTAGTGGAAAATACTGAGAAAGTACATACTCTCAGAGCTAATGTTTTCCCACGAATCTATTAAGAATGAATAATAACCTGATCCAAGTGTGCTGATTGGTTATCCTACTAACCATAGATATGCAATAAGATACTTCTTTAACTATTTAAGTTACCTGACAAGCAAACTGATAATAGAGAGAAAGTGCGACAACTATATAGGAAGATTGACAAGTAGGGAAACTAGTGAGCAGTTTTCTTAAGAAACAGTTTAATTGATAGGAACACAAGGAAAGTGAAAGAGGGTAAGCTAGATCAAATAATAGACAGATAGACTGACTAATAGGATATTACAAGTACATAACTGTTTGTTTCGAATTTTAGATTTCTGGATGATTACGGCCCGTTATCAGATACGCAGAGAGAAAACATTTGTAAGTATGCAAGTCTTATGCTCATAAGAAGTTATGTAAATACGACTGGCCCCCTCATTATGATGCTCCTACTCCTCACACAAAATAGAATGATCACATAATATGTCTGGTGAAAAATGCTTGAGCCCTACATATTCAGAAATTTATTCATAACATGGTTAATGCGCGAGACAATAAGTGTGCAAGAACGAGCATTTCAAAGGAATGTGATATCGTCTGCTTAACGGAATCGTCGTTATCAAGAGTTTGTTAAAAGCGGCAACTGAACGAGAGTACGTTTACCCGAATAATAATCACTTCTGCTGCCACCGCTGGTGATTGACTGAGGGAAAAGACTTTTATGCAAGCCAATAAAAATTCAACAGACGTCAAACTGTGTACAAACTGAACGATTTCTTTAATAATAGTCAGGATTCGAGTATCCCAACTGAACTGTGTGATGAACATCATAAAACTGTCTTATGTTATTAAAAAACAGTTTAAAACCCACTTTGCTCAGATTCAAATAGGAAAATACAGCTTTACAGATGGACGTGAAAAATGATAATTTGAACAACTTATGACTGCAATCGTGTTAATGGTTGATGAATCGCATTTTTCTTTTCGTTTTATGCATTGATGGTCGAGTAAAAATTTGAAGAAAGTCACATTATACACTTGACCCTTCTTGAATTCTTGTGAGGTGGTGTAATGGGAATGGGAATGTTATATCGAAAGGAGTTGCATTCGTTTATTTATTTCGAAGACCAACAACATTCACAGAGTAACTTGAACATTGTTTCTGATCATATGATCCCCACAATACAACATTTCTACTCTGGTGAACAAGAGCTCTTCCAAAGCAATGGTCTGACAACTTACAATGTTTATATTGTGCGAAATTGGTTCGAAGAACATGACAGACACCATAGCCATCATCCTTGGCCAGCAAAATAATCTGACCTCCATCCCATTGAGCGTTTTTAGAATGAGCTTGAACGCTTTCTTGTCATTGCGATCTTTTGCCAACATCTATGAGCTAAATGCTGGCCAAGCTCTTCGACGAATAAGTTATAATTTAACAGTATAACTTTGGCATCTTCTTGTGTCTATGCCACGCTTTGTCTAAGCTTTTTTGCAGGCGTTAAGTGGTACAACCCAATGTCAGGTGGTAATCATGAGCCAATAGTAGTAGTAAATAGTTTTAACACGTCAAATATGACTTGAAAGGTACCGTCTCATTTTTCGAAAAGAAAGAACACTGTTTTAGTTATTATATATTTATGTTTTTTATTATTTTATAAACAGATATTAATGTTACAAGGAACGAATTAAAGAATAAGATTCTTACGTTTGTGTAGATAAGCTAAACATGTTTTTTTTTCCTTTGTAGCTGACGAAAATAAATAGATTTCTGTGTGACTTAGCAAGTAACTACAATAGCACAATTCTAATGAAACTAAATTAAGAGAGACTTTTTATATTAGTTTTCATTTTTATACATTTAAGGATATTTCTGTTCTCATGCATTCAAAGTATAACATTATTGCGGTCATGTTCTTAAAAATAAAACTTTAACCACGGTATCAATAGTGTTTTTTTATCTTTTTTAACAAAGTTGACTTATAACCACTTCCCTATGCAACGCTAAAGTAACCCAGCTTTTCATCTGACATAAATACTTGACATTTATGTTAACAGGGACTTAACGTCTCACGATAAAAAACCTAAGAATACAGGCGATGTTGTTGTTTTTTCAAATTATAACTGTATTATAAGCAAGATGCTATATCACTTGGTACTCAAGGCTTTCAGTCACACTGCAATTGTATAACAAGTACAGAGAAGTTGATGTGCCAACACACGGAAGTAATCGCAAGAAGAAAAATTATTCAAAAATTACTTTCTGTTTCTGACAGCTTCAGTTCAGACATATACATCCAACTCCTTGGCAGCGCGCAAACAGACAGTTATTATTAGCGTTGAAAACAGACCGCTCCAGCAGCAAAGAACTCCGTCTACTGCCAAGGGACTCCTGCAGACCGCCTAGCGATATATAGGCTAGGTTCCCACTCGCCTTAAACTGGAATCAGGTAAATATTTACGGTGAATGAAAGATACTACTCATAACAAATTCCAATTAAACATTTATTAGCTAGGCCTAAGGAACACTTTCCCCCTTAAAAGATAAACAACACTAAGCATGAGTAGTGCACTTATATTAATATAATTCGAAACAGTTATTTAAGCCAAGCAAGTAGACCAATAGTTTTTGTTCGTAGTGAATTTAACCCTAATCGTTCTGCTTTTATAAACGTGTAATAGTTATCTTATACACTTTCTATGGGACTTTTTCGTTTATTCGGTGTTTGATGAATATTTATCAAATATAATACAACATCTGGTTACGCTTCGTTTGGGGAGGTGTAGCTGTGACTACAATTAAAGTGTAGGTCTTGAAATAAAAAATTATCTTAAATGCAAAGAATATTTCCTTCCTTATCTTTCCTTTTTTCTTTTTTTTTGTAAATGGAATGGTTATAAAATATATAATAATCCAGTCCAGGATAGATAAAGTCTGTCACATCTGTTAAGCAATCGCCACTCTTTTATACTGAACTAAGTTTAAACACGTTTTGAAATTGGTTTGGTTGCTGACAGTAAGCTATCTGATTAGCAAGCAGTTATATTTATATTATAATAATTTCATTTATTATTAATGCGCGACTTAATGATTGAGCTTATATCCGTCTCCGTGAGTAAACGTTCGACAAGGAAATAAATAGATGAAAAAACAAACTTTGATTAAACTGTTAGTAAGTTACATTCCAAATATCTTACTGCAACTGGCTGAAGAGGCCTAGTGATTATGTAAGTTGGTTCTCACTATCAATGTTCTACTGAGAATTATGTTAGTAAGTTAAATTCCAAATATCTTACTGCAACTGGCTGAAGAGGCCTTGTGATTATGTAAGTTGGTTCTCACTATCAATGTTCTAATGAGAATTATGAACCGCAATATTCAGGGAATAGTTACCCATACAAAAATTTTCAAAGACAATGATCTTGCATAAACAATATATTATTATCATTGCTTCATGCTCTTCTGTGTGAAATTATAGGCTGGATAACATTGTAAGTTACTATTGAATATCACGACGTGGTAAATTTCGAATTCGATGACGAGGAACCCACTTTGAGACTAATAATGGCTGGAGACGGCTTAAATGGGTAATGAAGAAAAACTTTAATATAAGTTTAACATGACAGCAAATGTACAACGTTTCGACAAGGTTTTGTCATCATCAGGTACGATCCTACGATCTATATTTCTATCTACAGATTCATAGATTCCTACGATCTATATTTCTA